ACATCAGGACACAAGGAAGGATATAATAATTAAATCACTCACCCCTATGAGTTAACAGTTTTAGAACCGGGAGTCAAAATGGAGATGACAGAAGATTTCCACATTTGTACTCAATGTAGTAAGATAAAGGAGAGAATAGACCACTCTTTCTAACCTTTCTCTCTTTAATTTAACTATGCAATGTATATTTGTATTTTTAGCGTCTTAAAATACTCTTTGTTTTAAAAAATATCTCTCCTTATTATAAAATCAATATGTATTCATGGTAGAAAACTTGGAAAGCATCAAAAAGTGTGAAGAGAAAATAATACCTACATTTACATTAGCCAGTTATAACAAGTTTTTTTTAAGTTCTTAGTGTTTTATTTTCTAGCCATAACATTTCATTTTATTAAATTTCAGACAGTGTATAGAATAAATATTTCTATAGTAATATGATTCTATTGAAAATATTACTGGGGGCGCCTGGGTGGCGCAGTCGGTTAAGCGTCCGACTTCAGCCAGGTCACGATCTCGCGGTCCGTGAGTTCGAGCCCCGCGTCGGGCTCTGGGCTGATGGCTCAGAGCCTGGAGCCTGTTTCCGATTCTGTGTCTCCCTCTCTCTCTGCCCCTCCCCCGTTCAAGCTCTGTCTCTCTCTGTCCCAAAAATAAATAAACGTTGAAAAAAAAATTTAAAAAAAATAAAATAAAATATTACTGAATTTCATTGAGGTAATTGCCCCATATTGTGTTCTAGCATTTGATTATATTATATCATCGCATAAATATTTTGGGGATATGAAAATAACTTTACATATAATTATATTAGTGAGAAGATATCACATAAATTATGCCTACATAAAGACATTTTGACTGCATGCCTTTGCTAGTCAAATAAAGTAAGTCAATTGAGTTTTAAAACTATCCAAACTGATTGACATCTTAGACGTAGAGTCACTTTGATTGAAAATCCTTTTCACTTTTGAGGGAATCATTCATTCAATAAATATTTGCAAACTTACTATATCCCAGGCTCTGGAAATGACAGGGAAGCAAAGAGATACAGTTCTTAACTTCACGGAAATTATACTCTAGTGGTGGGAATTATCAGAACAGGAATTTTAAAAATGCCTCTCATTAATATGCTACGGGCTTTAATGGAAAAAGGAAATCACATGCAAGAACAGCTGGATAATGTAAGCAGAGAGATGCAATATACAAGAAAGAATTAAAAAGAAATCCTAGAGAGCACTGGGTGGCTCAGTTGGTTAAGCCTCTGACTCTTGATTTCAGCTCAGATCATGATCTCATGGTTCATAGGATCTGGCTTTGCATTGGGCTCCACACTGAGCCTGGAGTCTGCAGCTTGCTTGGGATTTTCTCTCTCTCCCTCTTACTCTGCCCCTCCCCTGCACACTTACACATGCATGCGCTCTCTCTCTTTTTCTCAAAAAAAAAAAAAAAAGGGGGGGGGATAGATAAACTTAAAAAAAAATTCTAGTTATCAAAAACAGTGTAACAGAAATATGGAATGCTTTAGTGGGTTCATCAGTAGACTGGGCACAGCTGAGGAGATTATCTCTGAGCTTTAGTATATGGCAATGGAAAATTTCAAAACTTAAAAGAGAAGAAGACTGAAAAAAAGGAATGTCCAAGAACTATAGGACAACAATAAAAAGTGTAGCATATACGTAATGGCAATATCATTTAAAGCCTTAATGACGACAAAATCCTCCAAATTCATGTCAGATACTAAACCATAAATCCAGGAAGTACAGAGCATAATAAGCAAGATAAGCATAAAATAATCCTGTACCTAGGCATAGTATATTCAATTTTAGAAAATTAAAGATAAAGAAAAAGTCCGGAAAGAAGACAGAAGGCAAAAACATGTTACCTATAGAGGAACATAGATAAAAATGAGATCCTACTTCTCCTCAGAAACCATGCCAGTAAGAGGAGAGTGAAGTGAAATAGTGTTGAGGGAAAATAAGCTTCTACCCTAGAATTCTGTGCCCTGTGAAATTAAGTTATCCTTTAAAAGTGAGGGGAAAATAAAGACTTCCTTAGACAAACAAAAATTGAGAGAATAAACAGAGCACAACTTTTGGTTGCATAATTGTCTATGTAGAAAATCCAAAAGAATTGACCAAAAACTCCTGAAACTAATAATGGATTATAACTAGCTTGCAGGATTCAAGGTTAAATGTCATTTGCTTTCCAGAAACAGACCCATGAGTACAGAGAATAAACGGATGGTTGCCAAAGGGGTGTGGGAGATACAGGCTTCCAGTTGTGAAATGAATAAGGTGCAGGGATAAGAACCACAGCATAAGAAATATAGTCAATGGTATTGTAATGGCATTGTTTGGTGACAGTTTGGTAGCTACACTTGTGGTGACAGTGGCATAACATACAGACTTGTCACCATGCTATACACCTGAAACTAATGAAACATTGCGTGTCAATTGTACTTCAATAAAAAGAAAAATCACTTTTCCAAATACCACCAATGAACAAGTGGAATTTGAGATCAAAAGCATAATGTCATTTACATTAACACCACCAAAATGAAATACTTAGATATAAATCTGGCAAAGCATGTACGAGACTTATGTGAGGAAAACCACAAGAATCTGCTGAGCAGAATCAAAGAAGCAAATAAATGAAGAGATATTCTGGTTCATGAATAAGAAGACTCAAAATTGTCAAGATGTTAAGTTCTTCCCAACTTGATCCATAGATCCAATGCAACCCCAATCAAAATCTCAAACTGATTTTGGGTATTAACAAACTGATTCTAAAGTTTATATGGAGATTCAAAAGAGCCATAATAGCAAACTGAATATTGAAGAAGTATAAAGTCGGAAAATGACACTGCCTGACTTACGACCCACCATAAAGCTATGATAATGAAGACAGTGTGGTATTAGTGAAAAAATAGATAACTAGATAAAAGGAACAGCACAGACACCCAAAAGTAAACTCACATAGATATAGTCAACTGATCTCTGAGGAAAGGAGCAAAGGCAGTACAGTGGAGAAAAGGTAGTCTTTTGAACAAATGGTGTTGGAACGACTGGACATCCACATGCAAAAAAAATAAATCTAGACATAGACCTTACACTCTTCATAAAAATCAACTCTAAATGGATCACAAGCCTAAATGTAAAATGCAAAATTGTAAAACTCCTAGAATATAAAATAGAGTAAACCTAAGTAACGGTGGATATGGCAGTGACTTTTTGATACAACACAAAAGACCCAAACCCTGAAAAAAACAATTGATTGGCCGAGCTCTTTTAAAATCAAAAAACTTTTGCTGTGCAAAAGACAAGTCAAGAGAATGAGAAGACAGACCAAAGACTGGGAGAATATGTTTAGAAGAGAAACATCTGATAATGGACTGTCATCCAAAATATGCAAAGACTGTTAAACCTCAGCAATAAGAAGATAACCTGGTTAAAATATGGACAGAAGACTTGAACAGACTTTGCCAAAGGAAGATACAGAGAAAGCAAGTATGTATATGAAAAGATGTTCAACATCATACGTCTTTAGGCAATTGCAAAACAATGAGATACCACTATATATCTATTGGAGTGGCCAAAATCCTAGACACTGAACATACCAAAGACTAGCAAGTATGTAAAGTAACTGTTCCTTTATAATCCAGCAATTGTACTTGGTGTTTACTCGTGCTAATGAAAATAAAAACCTGCACATGGATGCTTATAGCAGATTTAGTCGTAACTGCTGAAACTTGGAAGCTACCCAGATGTCCTTCTACAGAAGAATGGGTAAATAAACTGTGGTACATCAAGACAATGGAATATTATTTATTGAGAAAAAGAAATGAACTGACAAGCCATTAAAAGACATGGGGGAAATCTAAATGCATATTACTAAGTAAAAACAAAAGCCAGTTTGAAAAGGCTACATGCTGGATGATTCTAACTATATGACATTTTAGAAAAGGAACGACTATGGAGACAGTAAAAAGATCAGTGGTTGCCAGGAACTGAAGAGGAGAGAGAGTGAAATAGGTGAAGCATAGAGGATTTTTAGGGCAGTGAAACCGTTCTGTATGATACTACAATGGTGGAAATGTGTCATTACATATCTGTCAAAACTCATAGGATGTACAACACATGAGTCAACCCTAATGTAAGCTATGGACCTGGGGTGATAATGTGTCAATGTACATTCATCAAATGTGGGTAACAAATGTGCCACTATAGTGCGGGATGTTGATAGGGAGATTATACACTTGTTTGAATAGGGAAGTATATGGATACTTTCTGTACCTTTGTTCAATTTTGCGGTGAATGAAAAACTGCTCTAAAAAAGTTTATAATTTAAAAAATTGAAATGGTGTGGCTGAGTTATCTAATGAAATATCCTGGTGAAAAATGTCAAAATTATTTAATTCCTCAGACTTTTTTTTTTTCAAAGTTTATTTATTTTTGGGACAGAGAGAGACAGAGCATGAACGGGGAAGGGGCAGAGAGAGGGAGACACAGAATTGGAAACAGGCTCCAGGCTCTGAGCCATCAGCCCAGAGCCTGACGCGGGGCTCGAACTCACGGACCGCGAGATCGTGACCTGGCTGAAGTCGGACGCTTAACCGACTGCGCCACCCAGGCGCCCCATAATTCCTCAGACTTTTAAGCATATATTTCCATAAAACCTAAAACTATAAAATATAGAGATAAAACATATAATTTATTTTCGTATAGAGTTATAATTGGGCTTACAATTTATATGATGAAAAACAATAAGAATTGTTCTTTTTTTTAATGGAATTTAAGGTGGTATTAATAATTGAGGCAAAACTGAGACACAAGACAAACCTTGAGAACGTTGACAAGAAATTGAATCGAGTTTCCAAAAAATCTGAACCAACATTTTAAGCAAGGTTTGTGATAAGGTTCAGACTGGAAATGGTTGGTTATGTATTGTGTAATTTGACTCTGTGGAATCCAACAGTATATGATAAGGTCCTTTTAATTTATTTTCAGGTTTATAACTTTTCTGAGATCAGGACTGTATGTGAAAACAGAGCCATCCTGAAAACTATGAAGAAATATTTCTTTCATTCAAAGGAAAACAAAGTAGAAGGTAAATAATTACTGACAGTTTCTGAGAGCTTTATGCAGTTTCTTTTTCTCTACCAGTTTTTTTCTCCTTCCTATATAATCACTCACAGTTCTTATGTTTTCTTTTTATACAGGGCTAGTGGGCTGAGGACATAAGATACAAAGTGCTAAGGTGATGGAAATATCAGGGCAGATTCTGTCATTAGCTCTATGTATTCTTGTTCATGGGTCGGTACACAAACCACTTGCTCTTTGTTCAGATCTCACCATCTAGAGCGACATAGACAGTGCTTAAATCCATTCATTTAGTCAGACATTCAATGGTTATTTATTGAGCACTTACTACGTGCAAGGTGCTATTCTGGGATATAATACTAAGCGCAAGACGAATCGGTTTGCCCTCATGGACATCACTGTCCACTGGAAGAGATGGGTGATAAATAATCACATACAATGTTAAGGGCTAGGAAGAATCAATGTGTAAGAGGGTACATAAGCACTCATCTTTGTGAAGTCAGAGGAAAACTGTCCCCTAAGAAGTGAAAATTAAGCTGAAGTTGAAGAATAAACAGCATTTATCTGTTGAAAGAGGGCAGGAAAGAGCAATCTAGGCAGAAAATATTTAGTTAAATATGTTGGCATAGACAGGGCTTAGTATGAGTTTACTGTCAACATGTAACAGTAAATAATGGAATAATTGCTTACACAAATGATACAACTGACTTTGCAGTAAACATGTATTTCAAACTCTAAAATTACTAAATTGGCTCTGTTAGGGAGTTGAAATCATGAGTGGGTCTTTTTATCTTTTATTTCCTATTTTTCTAAATATGGTTGAAATTGTTTCACACAATGGAATATTTTTTTTTGAAAAAACAAACAAAATAATTGCGTTACCTCTATTGTGTTTTACTAAATAGCTTGTATCCTTGCTTCTTTATTAAAAAATATTTAGTATTCCACATCTTATTTCAATCAACGTAAACTGATTTTTCTCAAAGATACTACATTCTTTTAAATGTTCCCACTTATAACCTATGCCATTCTTGGCACAGAGGATAGCCTTATAAGGGGAAGGGGTGCTGTACCCCTAGAGGGACCTCTCGACCAGTCAGAATGCTCATTATCAGCCCAATTATCCCCTGATAATTGGCCTGCCTGTGGGAATAATAGGCTGGGATGATTTAACTCAGTGCTGACATATTTATATTTATAGCATCCTACACACTGCATTCTAAACTTCTTAACTTTTCTTGAAATAATGGAAGAAACTGATTCTAGCTGTAAGAATACTTTATTTGTTCAATATTTAACTTCCTGTGAACACTGAAGGACACTCCACTGAGACCCAGGGAGCACTCCTTGTTTGTACTAAACTTTGCAGTGTTGGCAATAAATCTCACATAACGTCCAGCTTTCTTATTTTGTCTCTATACAACATTCTCCCAAAAGACAAGTCTCCCTTCTTGGACTCTGTGAAATTTCGTCATAGGATAACACTCTTAGAATGGAGTCACTTGGCTCGTGAATGCTTTACCAACATTTCAACACTTCTGGATGGCTGGCTGATGTCCAAATGAGTGTAGGGAATGGCCAAGGAGAGGAATTGTGACGGAATTTTACAGAGGGTAGGGTATTTGCTTTTGTGTGTTTCTTGAAATAATTAGGTTGAGTTAGGTTACACTCATGGTATATAGTGTTTTAAAGTTTCCAATTTGAGATTCCAGTGTCTTCACTGAATCTTGTGCTGAAATGTGTTAGCAGGATGGGGATGTTTGCATCCTCCAGATCTCCTTTTTTAGTTGCATAAATTTATCTGTTTAATAAATAGTTCATACACTGGCCAGAAACCAAGTGGACAAACTGTACTCACTAACCCTTTAATACTTGGCTCCTTTGTATAATGACCCGGCCCATTATTAGATAATGAAAGAGTGTATGAGAAAGTGGGAGATTATTTATGATGGAAACAAAATGAAACTAATGGGACAAGATTTGAAAGCTGTGATGCATGAAAGGTGCTATGCAGGCAGCTTTGGCACCATGACAAGCAGAGAGAAAGGCTCAGTGGGAAGCAGCAGTGTGAACATGACTATGAAAAAGAAAGAATGGATTTCCTGAATGAATCCTTGCCATCTGGTGTTTGTTTAATACACAATGAAGGTCAAATGGCTACTGATCCTTTTTTCTATAGTCCAGTGACTACAAGAATGAGAGGAATCAATGAGTTTATCGATATGTCTGGAAATGACTCACCATATGATCTGATTGAGTCAATAAAACTGAAGTAACTTGTCATTACCCTTTCAAATGCGGCTTGGATCTATGACTACAGTACTGTTTGTTTGTTTATTTATTTATTTATTTATTTGCCAATTTGCTGGATCCAATGTGATCACTACTTTTTTCAAGATTAATGTTTTAAAGCATTTAATTTTATAGGTATGTACAATTAATAGGAAGGGTCAGGCAAAAGTCTTTCATAAAGCTGAATGTTTCTCCTATTTTCAAATGGATCTGGTAAACATTTGTTTCTGTTGATTGGTGGTGGGTTAAAGAATTTTTTCTTCCACTCTGCCTTTTATGTGTATGAGATTGATTATACACCTATTTTATGTAATTATTCCTAGGGGACATATTAACTTTTGGTGAAATATGTTTTTTTTAGCATTATATGTAAACAGCATACACTTTGGGAAAGTCATATGTAAGTCAAACATTTACTTTATGTAACATTTTCTTTCCCACACATGGTTCCAGGAATGCACTCCCCACAGTATGATCCTGGAATTCTTACCCTCTACTACTAAAGATGCAGGGTTTTCTGTTGAGTTCTTTCTAAAGACTAAAATAAAAGATACTTTTCTCACATTAATATTTCTCAGCTGCCATGAAAACAGGGATAGGAGAAGCCAAAAATAGAGGAACCAGCTGTGGGAGGATGCTTTTTTTTTTTCTCTTCAGGACAACTCAGAAAAGTCTTTCAAATTCATTCCATAAAGAGTGTGTTAAAACAAATACTGTTCCACGTGCCTGAATGCTATACTTTAGAAGCTGATATACACTCAGTTGTGACACAGTTAATGTTACCTGACTGTAGTGGTAGTAGGATTGTTAAGTTTGTCTCTCAGATGGATCTATTTAGCATTCTTTATCTCTTCCCTTTTTAAAAAGACTCTTTACTGAAGCTAGTTAATTAAAATAAGAGTTAGGCAATTATGAAAAAATTTCTCTTCTCCCTCAAGTAGACTCAACGTGTTTTATTCTAGATGCCACACATCTTGGTGTTTTGAGTTTTTCCCCCGAGCATGAAAATATTACATGTTTCCCTGAGTATGTTAAAGAAGAAACAAAGACTCACCCATCATTACAGTATGCAAAGGCACCATAGTTAATATACCGACCTCTTTATTTTTTCTATTTTGTCTTTACTTAACTGAGCTAATACTGTAAATACAATTTTACAATTTGAATTTTTTTTTTACTTAACAATTTATCTGTGATTTTTATGACCCTGAAGTCTTTTCTCATGCCCAGGTAGATCTGCTTTTTTCTTCCTTTGTGTTCCTACTGCACTGTGAAATTATATTCTGACATAGTACCTTTAGTATTATGTTAGTATATTTTTATTTATCAACTGTAAAAGCTGAGAAGGCAAGAACCTACATTTTATGTCTTTTGCAACATAAAAAAAAAATAAGAGTTTACTGATTAAAGGGTATAGACAGAAGCAGATATTCACCTGATCATTAGAATTGCCTATGTAATGAGGATATTGAGACAGAGGATTTTTACAACAGAAATTATGTGCTTCTTGTACTTAGTGAGATTTTGAATTCTATAACACAGAAGGATGCTTAAAACCTCAAGATACTTATATTCTATTTGATTGACAAATAAACTGCTTAATAGCTACGTATGCCTAGCCCTAAAGTATAAAGTCAGTAAATTTGTATGGTTTCATTCTTGGGTACAATATAATATTAGCTTTTATGACCAACTGGCCATCATTATTTTAAACTAGCATCATTTATATATGTATTTATTTTTTTCCAGCTTTATTGAAATATTATTGGCATATAACACATGTAA